CCATAATCCGTGGCACTGCCAGTGTTCTTGGAAACTGCTGCTTGAATAATGGCATCGTGATTCGTGGTCGTCCTCAGAAGAACTAAAGAAACGTTTGGGAGTCGATTCAACAGGCTCGTGCTGATTCATTTTACTCTTACTTTGGAAAGGAGACGAAGTCTATGTCTCTAATGAGCAAACGGTTCTTTTACAGAGCCCGCGGTAAGATCTGCGCGCGGTAACGGTCACTAGCACTGTGACTCAGTGCAAGTGTGAGGTTCAAACTAACTTACTTGGCGCATAGCTGTTACTTCCGATGTAACTAGTACTTCAGTACTAAACTGAAGTCACAAAGAGTGTGTGATGGCACTGCACTGCATGTACTGCACAGAGTCGTGGTAGTCTTGTACTTGATCCGCACAGGTTGGTGAAAGGAAGACTCGTCGAGCCATGGTTGTGGGTTGGAATTCCAATCTCTACCCTTGTGGGGGAGAGGGGAGTTTGTATATCAGCTCAGTATAAGCATAATATAGCCTACTCAGTTGATTATATGGGAAATATAAACCCAGGCGCGTGCTCGGCGGGGGGCACGGGGGGCACGTGCACCCCCCCAAAATTTTCAATCTGGGTTTTGAAAAAAATAATACTGCACCTCGGATGTGACACGTACACATGCAAACGGCCTTCATCATGTTCATGTACACGTACACGTGCAGCGCGAACAAGAATTTTGCACGTAGATCTACACTGTGCACAGCATAAACATTACCTTGCGACAGTCGGATTCTTTCCCGGTTTCGATTTCTTGCTTTCAGGTCTCTGGATTCTTTGATTTCTTTCCTGAAGTATGGGTATCTGACTATGACTGAGCTGCTCTTTTCATAATGTCAAATCGACCGCCGTCATTGAAGTCATTGCGCAAAGCTTCCACGCTGCCGCAGCTAACTCTAAGTGAAGCGTTCGGTCGTTCTGCAACTGTTGCTGCGGGAGCTGTTGCTGCAGCGAAAAAATCTGATAATATTTCCTCGAGTGGCGATGAGGGTTCTTCAAGAGGTGAAGAGTCAGACGAAGTGGTAGTAGTTGAAGAGGTTGCAGGAGAAGTAGCCCAGGCTGCCGGGTCTACCGCGGTGGATAAACCCGACGAGGTTGATGTAGTCGCTTCAGGCGGCACTCCAAACGACATTGGAGAAGGCTACAACCTTGCATCACAAAAGTGGACCTGTTTGCCGTCATCGTTGTCCTCTGATGAGAAGTGTCGCTTGGTCGACCACCACTTTGTGCCAGGGCCGAAACACGACTTTCCTGTCCACACAGGAAATGATGGCAGAAACCGTCGTTTTCGCACCAGTGGCTAGAGGACAACACGTAGCTGGTCTATTCACCCAAATGCGACGGGGGTTTCTGTCTTCCGTGCCTCCTATTTCCCAGTGGTGCGGATCAGGGACAGCTCACAGCAAGACCTATGTCCAACTTCAAAAAGGCCACCACTTTGCTGGACAAACACGGCTCACAGGCAACCCACAAAGACGCCGTTGCCAGGCAGGGCCAGTTCAAAAAGGTCGTGTCTGCTGGGATCCAAGGCAATTGTAATGTATGCGAATATGCTCTAAAATTCAAGAAAGGTTGCAAACAAATTGCAGAAAATTGCCGGGGGGGGGGCTCCCCTCGGCTCCCGTGCACCCCCCTAGTTGGGGGGCCGAGCACGCCCCTGAAACCAATATACAAACCTCGGCTTCGCCTCGGTTTGTATACAGGTTTATATTTCCCATATAATCAACTGGTTAGGTTATATTATATACATATAGTCTGTCTCATTTTGTCCTGAGATGTTTTGATGCATAGTGATTATGACGCTCATCATTCGCTCCCTTGTCACTGGACAGTTCTGTCCGTTTGGTTTTAGCGAATTCAAATAAAGAAAACAACAACCACAACAACAACAAGCGATCTAGCACATGCACTGCATGCACAGTATGTACAAATCCAGAAAATGTGCGAACTGTCATTTTTCTATTCGAAAAGGGCGTTACCCCCCTACCCCCGTTTCGAAATGCGTTACGTTTAGAAAAAAAATGCGAACTTATGAGATGCTCCCTTACACCTTAAAAGGTGAAGTATACCCTAAAATCAAGTTTCCACCGTTAACCCTTTCAGGACGGACTTGATTCAGGTAAACTGCTTCATGCACTACGTATGGAAGCAGTTTGGATCAGAACTTGCGTTTCCTTTTATCGATTTTGATAATCTTGGGCTTCCTGGAAAGCTCTTGGTCAGAGGAACACACTGGTGTAATCATCACTCGCAACAGTGCCACTACATTGCTGCTATAGCGCTGGGATGAGATACAAAACGGGACTTTGAGCCAATTTGGTAAAATTGCTGATATTTTCGTAATATTCACGGTAGAGCGCTGCTTTTTTTGTGCAGTTGACAGCTTCAGATTCATGCCTGACGTCACTCTGCTCTGTACCTGCCTGGCTTGTCATGCAACAGGGGGAAATCCCTTGAATGACACAGCGCACGGAAGTCAAAATTTGCTGCAGGACGTAAAATACCTTGCGAGTGCCGTAGCTCCACTATTTGACCTCGGATCGACTTCGGATTTGTTCGAGCCGACAGCTGAGACAATTCTAATGTCGATAGACCTTTCGATTGCCCGATTCTGGCAAGGGAAAGCCGAGTTACGAAAATTTGAGGGTATGCAGTATCCACTGCACAGTCATGACGGATATATCCGTCATACCGTCCTTAAAGGGGCACTCCGGCTTCATTTTCGACGCCGAGTTTTCGATGCCAAGACGAAGGTTGGTGAAAGAGAAGACCCCTCGAACAAGAACGAGTCTCCAGAAGCGATCGAGTCGAGCAGGAAGACGACCTTTGAATTTCGGCCGAGCGAGCGCTGATGACGTAATGAGGGATTAGCTTGCCAGTGGAAATGCATCTGCGCACATACATTTCACACACTTTTTGGCCAATTTTCAATCGAAGAGGAGGTTGTTTTCTATGTTCTCTCAACGTCGTGAGCGATCCCGTCTTCTATACCCTTCCAGGTACCCTGAAGGTCCTCCAGAGGAGAATTTATCTCCAGCAAAGCGTTGTTGATCCGCTAAATTGGTCTCGAGACATATTCACCCAGTGCAGTGCTGACAAATGTAGAATGTTGAATCTGTGATAATTGTCGACGCTGGACAGAAAGGTTGATAGCCGCTGTCGCAGGGAAAGTGAAGCTGCTGGAAGTAACAACGGGGAGCTTGTTAGCGCTATAGCATCACTTGATCAAAGCAGCTAGACGGAATCTGACTATTTGTCTCGCCCTCAGTTTAGTGAATTTTATGATCAGAAATTTTTTCGATCAGGATCCCTTCTACAAGATGTGTAGTACAGGACTGGTGATTTCTGAACTTGACGATATGGAGACCGACCAGTAGACCTACCAACAACGTGTACCTGCAGGAAATTCACCCAAGGCTATTGCTAGTGCTATCCTCTTCAGTGGCTGTTGTTTTTTTAGTAAAAATGTGTTCACTTCTCTCAACATACTCCTGCATGGCAGCAAGAAGGTGCGCTATGGAATTCAACGCCACAATCTTCGCCCAGCTGTGGATGAAGCATGGTCAAGTCATGGCAGTACATACATGTATACTTGAACCAGATGAGAAATTGAAGTTCATTTGTGATAGGAAGTTTGACAGCCCCAGTGACCGAGTCAAGCGTTGTCTTTTGCCGTGGCACAAATTGCTGAAGAATCCGAGATGGTCTTGGAATTATGCACATGGATACTACGAGAAATAATGGTGGCATGAACCATTGTGGAATGGGACAGCTCACGGAGAATACTGGAATAGCTCAAGTATCTCTAGGCGATTGTAAAGCCTGCTCTGGCTGATAGCTTCGGCCTGCTGCGCCCGTCCATGTACAATGATGGGAACATGCATTTCTGTTTTCTACATAATTATTTGCTATCTACTGTACTGTGCAGGTCCCTTATATAGAAATATGTTCAACCCCCCCCCCCCCCCCCCCCACACACATACCCACATAAATATGAACTAACAATTTCACTGTTGGACTCGCCGGCGGCTAGAGAGCAAAGGAATAAATTTATAGCAAAGAAAAGGACCAGGGAACTACAAGTTACGCTATAATAATGTCCACGAACAATTTCACTGTATTTGAAATAATTTTGTTTGATACCCTGAGAACTCTGAAACTTTGCAGCACTGTGGATTATATGTGGATACAACATTTATGGAAGGAACACATAGTTCAAATAATTATAGCACTGACTAGTTGAGATTGTGAGCACATTCCAATCAGTACTCTACATATTTATAAGCGGTGGCAATCGTTAGGAATAGGTCGTGAGTTGTCAGAGTGCTCTAGTATATGAGAGAATGTTTTGTTTGTCTAATCGACGGCTCGTTTGAAGCCAGAGTTGTTTGAACTTGTTTCAGTCGACTTGATTCTAGACAGTAGTCGAAGGAGTACTATGATGTATACACCAGGCATAGTCTGTAAGGTATCTCGTGAGAATTCTGTCCGTACACATCAGGTATCAGCTTGCAAAGATGGCTCCTCTCTGTTTCTTGAAAGCCTGTATACGGTTGGACTGTGGCTCCAGCGATTCCCTTCTCAGAGCAGGTACCATACCCAATACCGTCAATGCATATTGGACAGACCTGTGTGCACAACAGAAATAGTGGAGAGAAATCTCTCAGCTCATGAACACATCAGTGAAGTTTGAACTGCCGTTGTTTGTGGCAATCAGTATAAACCTATCGACTATAAGAATAATGTGCAAAAAAACCTCTATAACTACAGCTGGGGCCATGGAATTATAAAGCATCTAGCTTAGGGAACTGCAAATTCTGGTCGGAGTTGCGTTCGAGGCCTGCAATTCATGATGGCTATCATATGTTGCATTGACCAGAGATCATATAAAACTTCCATGCCACATTGAAACACGCACTACTTTCGAGTACTTTGGTATCCCCCACCAAATGGGCATTCGTTCCCGGGGTGGCAGGCGTCAACATTCGTTATGCCTGGATCAGATTTCATTGACCCCAACAGTCATGAAGAATCATTTTTACTTTGACTGGATTTCAGTACAAGTTAGTTGTAGAACTGCAGAATAAATTTTGTTGTATTTGGGCAACTATTTCTCTGCAAACGCTCTATTAGGATTTTTTTTATAAAATACATGTCCAAATTCCACATCTACCCAAATCGGAATACTTGATCACGTATTCAGTCCTACATGGAATGTTTAGAAAACGCCAGGGAATAGGAATTTGCTAACGAGAACTCCAGGCCAGGGTACTAGCATACGAACAAAACAAGATAAAAACTCACCAGTATACTTGTAGTAATTCATGTCGGTGTAATATTCACGATAAGCAACGAGGCACCCTCCGATTTGGTCAAGCTGCTTTGAAGTCTGGTTGTTCAGGTGATACAAAGGGGCTCCCCGTTGTTACTTCCAGCAGCTTCACTCTCCCTGCGACAGTGGCTATCAGCCTCTCTCACCATCGTCGACAATTATCACAGATTCAACATTCTACATTTATCAGCACTGCACTGGGTGAATATGTCTCGAGACGAATTTAGCGGATCAACAACGCTTTGATGGAGATAAATTCTCCTCTGGAGGACCTTCAGGGTACCTGGAAGGGTATAGAAGACGGGATCGCTCACGGCGTTGGGAGAACATAGCAAACAACCTCTTCTTCGATTGGAAATTGGCCAAAAGTGTGTGAAATGTATGTGCGCAGATGCATTTCCACTGGCAAGCTAATCCCTCATTACGTCATCAGCGCTCGCTCGGCCGAAATTCAAAAGTCGTCTTCCTGCTCGACTCGATCGCTTCTGGAGACTCGTTCTTGTTCGAGGGGTCTTCTCTTTCACCTACCTTCGTCTTGGCATCGAAAACTCGGCGTCGAAAATGAAGCCGGAGTGCCCCTTTTTGGGCACTCCGGCTTCATTTTCGACGCCGAGTTTTCGATGCCAAGACGAAGGTAGGTGAAAGAGAAGACCCCTCGAACAAGAACGAGTCTCCAGAAGCGATCGAGTCGAGCAGGAAGACGACTTTTGAATTTCGCCGAGCGAGCGCTGATGACGTAATGAGGGATTAGCTTGCCAGTGGAAATGCATCTGCGCACATACATTTTCACATACTTTTTGGCCAATTTTCAATCGAAGAGGAGGTTGTTTTCTATGTTCTCTCAACGTCGTGAGCGATCCCGCCTTCTATACCCTTCCAGGTACCCTGAAGGTCCTCCAGAGGAGAATTTATCTCCAGCGAAGCGTTGTTGATCCGCTAAATTCGTCTCGAGACATATTCACCCAGTGCAGTGCTGATAAAATGTAGAATGTTGAATCTGTGATAATTGTTGACGATGGAGAGAGAGGCTGATAGCCGCTCTCGCAGGGAGAGTGAAGCTGCTGGAAGTAACAACGGGGAGCCCGTTTGTATCACCTGAACAACCAGACTTCAAAGCAGCTTGACCAAATCGGAGGGTGCCTCGTTGCTTATCGTCAATTTTACACCGACATGAATTACTACAAGTACATGTACACTGGTGAGTTTTTATCTTGTTTTGTTCGTATGCTAGTACCCTGGCCTGGAGTTCTTGTTAGCACATTCCTATTCCCTGGCGTTTTCTGAACATTCCGTGTAGTACTGAATACGTGATAAAGTATTCCGATTTGGGTATATGTGGAATTTGGACATGTATTTTATAAAAAAATTCTATTTTCCAAATAGAGCGTTTGTAGTGAAATGGTTGCCCAAATACAACGAAATTGATTCTGCAGTTCTACAACTTGTACTGAAATCCAGTCAAAGTAAAAATGATTCTTCATGACAGTTGGGGTCAATGAAATCTGACCCAGGCATAACGAATAGTGACGCCTGCCACCCCGAGAACGAATGCCCATTTGGTGTGGGATACCAAAGTACTCGAAAGTGGTGCGTGTTTCAATGTGGTATGGAAGTTTTATAATAATATGATCTCGGGTCAATGCAGCATACAATAGCCATCATGAATTGCAGGCCTCGAACGCAACTCAGACCAGAATTGGCAGTTCCCTAAGTTTATAATTCCATGGCCCCAGCTGTGGTTATAGAAGTTTGTTTGCCCATTATTCTTATAGTCGATAGGTTTATACTGATGGCCACAAACAACGGCAGTTCAAACTTCACTGACGTGTTCATGAGCTTAGAGATTTCCCTCCACTATTTCTGTTGTGCATACAGGTCTGTCCAATATGCATTGACGGTATTGGGTATGGTATCTGCTCTGAGAAGGGAATCGCTGGAGCCACAGTCCAATTATACAGGCTTTCAAGAAACAGAGAGGAGCCATCTTTCCAAGCTGATACCTGATGTGTACCGACGGAATTCTCACGAGATACCTTACGGACTACGTGTGGTGTGTACTTCATAGTACTCCTTCGACTACTATCTAGAATCAAGTCGACTGAAACAAGTTCAAACAACTCTGGCTTCAAACGAGCCGTCGATTAGACAAACAAAACATTCTCTCATATACTGGAGCACTCTGACAACTCACGACCTATTCCTAACGATTGCCACCGCTTATAAAATATGTAGAGTGCTGATTGGAATGTGCTCACAATCTCAACAATTCAGTGCTATAATCATTTGAACAATGTGTTAGAAAATATTCCACTTTTCCTTCCATAAATGTTGTATCCACAGTGCTCCAAAGTTTCTTTGCTCTCTAGCCGCCTGCGAGTGCAACAGTGAAATTGTTAGTTCATATTTATAATGTGGGTATGTGGGAGGGAGTTGAACATAGTTTTATATAAGGGGCCTGCAACTGTAATACCACAGTACAGTAGCCGGCAAATATGTAGAAAACAGAAATGCATGTTCCCATCATTGTACATGGACGGGCGCAGCAGGCCGAAGCTATCAGCCAGAACAGGATTTACAATCACTTAGAGATACTTGAGCTATTCCAGTATTCTCCGTGAGCTGTCCTATTCCACAATGGTTCATGCCACCATTATTTCTGGTAGTATCCATGTGCATTGTTCCAAGACCATCTCGGATTCTTCAGCAATTTGTGCCACGGCAAAAGACAATGCTTGACTCGGTCACTGGGGCAGTCAAACTTCCCATCACAAGTGAACTTCAATTTCTCATCTCTTTCAAGTATATGTACTGCCATGACTTGACCATGCTTCATCCACAGCTGGGCGAAAATTGTGGCGTCGAATTCCATAGCGCACCTTCTTGCTGCCATGCAGGAGTATGTTGACAGAAGTGAACATATTTTTACTAAAAAACAACAGCCACTGAAGAGGATAGCAATAGCCTTGGGTGAATTTCCTGCAGGTACACGTTGTTGGTAGGTCTACTGGTCGGTCTCCATATCGTCAAGTTCTGAAATCACCTGTACTACACATCTTGTAGAAGGGATCCTGATCGAATAATTTTCTGGTCATATAATTCACTAAACTTGAGAGCGAGACAAATGGTCAGTACTCCCCGATTCCGTCAAGGTGCTTTGAAGTCTGGATGCACATGTGATGCTAACAAGCTCCCCGTCGTGACTTCCAGCAGCTTCACTTTCCCTGCGACAGCGGCTATCAACCTCTCTCTCCATCGTCGACAATTATCACAGATTCAACATTCTACATTTATCAGCACTGCACTGGGTGAATATGTCTCGAGACGAATTTAGCGGATCAACAACGCTTCGCTGGAGATAAATTCTCCTCTGGAGGACCTTCAGGGTACCTGGAAGGGTATAGAAGACGGGATCGCTCACGACGTTGAGAGAACATAGAAAACAACCTCCTCTTCGATTGAAAATTGGCCAAAAAGTATGTGAAAATGTATGTGCGCAGATGCATTTCCACTGGCAAGCTAATCCCTCATTACGTCATCAGCGCTCACTCGGCGAAATTCAAAAGTCGTCTTCCTGCTCGACTCGATCGCTTCTGGAGACTCGCTCTTGTTCGAGGGGTCTTCTCTTTCACCTACCTTCGTCTTGGCATCGAAAACTGGGCGTCGAAAATGAAGCCGGAGTGCCCCTTTAAAGGATTAATATAGTCTTCGGGGTGCTGAGTCGAATGGTCTTGGTCCGACTGAGGATGCTGAGATGCTCTCTTCCTCCTTTATTCCCAATCGAACTCGCCACTTCCACCGAAACCGGGTGACTGCGCCCTACTAGATGGGGATTTCTATGCAAAATGTCGCTAAAAGCGCCATTTCATTCTTATAAAAGCATGGATGACCGCGATTGGCCCATATGTTGTGGTCTTTCGGATGCTGAGTTGACTGGTTTTGGCCCGAAAAGGCTGTGATGCAGATTTGAGCCCTTATTTCCAATCGAACACGGGTGAGTAAGCGGTCACGTGCTTATGCGTATACCAGTTACCTGGTCTCCATGGCAACTTACAGCCTGTTTGGGGACGTTCCTGTCACTCGAGTTGCACCTCTGAATCTTTGAGTTGAACCTTGGTGTGAAAGTTAGTTGTAGCCTGCAGGTACGGTGACCAGGCGACTGGTGTACGCATGAGCACTTGACCGCTTACTCAACCGTGTTCGATTGGGAATAAGGGCCGGATGTTCCATCGCAGCCTTTTTGGACCACAACCAGTCGACTCAGCGTCCAAAAGACTACAACACATGGGCCATTCGACTCAGCACCCCAAAGACTACAACTGGTGAAATGGTTTTAGGGTACACCAGCCACTTCATTTTGTATGTGAAATCCATCATTTTTAGAACACGGATGCTCCACTGCAGCCAATTCAATAGAATTTGCAGCATCAACGACATTGGTGTGGCGGTGGTGACTGATCGTGATATGAAATCCATCATATTAAAAAAATGCAATGAACTCCGGACTCTGGATGTATTGCGTACAGGAAGGCCATCTGTCTATTCGGGTGATGCGAGAAAACAATGATGTGGGTCTTCAATCTGTTGTTGAGGGCGTAGGGTTTCTGTACGCTGGGACAAAAAGAGGAAATGTGCAAGCGTGTCGTATCCGGCCAAGGTGCTGACTCACCAGACATGACACCGCGTTTCCAAAATCGCTACTCCCGTAAAAGTGAAAACAAAATAGACTCATCCAATCCTACCTTTCTGCGCTTCTTGATGTTTGCAATCTGTGTTGGTGTTGGCATGGCAGGTAGGACATGATATCCTCTATCAACGGATGATTGAGTTGTGTTTGCAGCTGCTGTAGCTTTAGCCTAAAAGCAGCGGAGATACACAATCATGCCAATGGTTGGTACTGCTGCTTGATAGCGAAAACCAGTTGCTACGGAGTGCCGTTCCAAAGAGCCGTAGTAAATCAACTGGCAACGCTAACCTTTCGTTGTCCCCCAAGTATAACTTAGTTACAGACAGTGTGAAAACAGCAGGACATCCTACAGCATGTGACCAGGCAGTGTAATAATTCCTTGCCACATGAGAATGGGAATTTTGGAAGCGTCCACGGAGAGGGAATTACTGCAAACCAGGGAACGTTTGTGCCCGTATTAAATCATATTATGATCAAGTAAATTTCTGCACCAGCAGTCGTAAGAGATAGCGAAAACCCGTGTTTGTGTACCTAGTCCCACCATGGCTGCAAACACAGTTATCCTTCCATTTTGGTTAGAGACCAGAAAGGGGGCCACTGACCTTTACAACTACAACTACAAATACAAGCACACACAGACAGACAGACAGACAGACAGACACACACACACACACACACACACACACGCACATACCGTAAAGTCGAGGATTTAAGCCGGGCTTATAAGCATATAAGCCGCTTTCTGCATCAGGCTTTAAGGTGGCAGACTACCCAAAATTCGCTGAAAAATCGAATTTGTAAATTCATATTGAGTGCTACGTCAGTTGAAAGAGCTTGAATAGCTGCAAATTCTCTGAAAATTGTGTCCCGATCTGACCAGCCGTTCAAGAGTTATGGCCTAAAATGTGCCCTTGCAAGGAAAGATTTTTTGTTGCACGCTGTCATTTGCTGGCAGCACTGTATTTGAATGTGAGCAGACCGTGCGCAACTTGTCGTATCATGGAAACACGCGAAAGTGTGCAGAATTTTGCTCCAAGTCCAAAAAATCACGTTTTTAAGCCACGTGCAGCAGGACTTTTGCCAGCACCCTCGTGACGTTGCAGATATATGGCTTGATTATTGTAGTTGACGTTGATTTAGTGACTTTGGCAAGTTTGAGTCGTGTCAAGAAGTCAGGTAGGATTCAGTACTAGGCAGTAGCGGAATGTGAGTGGTAGTCTTTGACGGTTTCTGAGGGTATCCTGGATTTGGTGTGCAGCGCTGTGGAAATGGCTTGCTGTGGACGTCCCAGCACTGGATGTTGTACAAAGGTACGACCTCGTAGCACGTGCTAAACCTAAAAAAATTCAAAAATTGACTTGGGTCTGTGGGAGTCTGTGAGAGAACGCCCACTCGTTCCGTTGTGACAGATTCCAGGGCCACGTTGAGGGGCCCTACCCCACCACCCATGGCTGCTTCTGGACTTGTTATAGGTTTGGGTCCCGCGCACGGACAGAATGGGCACGAAAATGTGAAAAAATTGTAAATGCATTTGTTTGGCTCATGGGTGGCTCGCACACCGTGGCACTATGCCGGAAATTTGAGTTTTTCCGGCCTGGAAAGCCTGTCAGTGAGACGCAAGAACTTGTAAATCATGTCCAGAGGGCCAGCATAGTGGCAGGAGTGTGTGGTCAAAATTTCACTCAAATCCTTCGAGAAACACCAAAGTTACGATCAATAGACCAATCCCGAAAAGATTGTCTGGGTTCGTGAAAGGGGGCACGCGTGCAAGCCAGCACGTGTGAAGTGCATCGTTTTGTATTCAGTTTGTGTGTGTCAGCTCATGGCGAAGGAGAGAGAGACTTTTGCTCGCTGAGCTGAAGCTAAAGGATTTGATGGAGTCCTGCCAGCAGCTAGTCAAAGGACCTTCGGTACCTTAGGCAGACCCTGACGGAGTTTGGAGGCCTGATAGCTCTCGGTGAGGAGAGAAACATTCGCGTGGCTATCGACTCTCCGTAAAAAATGCAAGCTACATAGCGCCGACATACTGCAACCGCTACGATTTCAGCTAACTTCTCGATCTGCTGCTTCACAAAGTTCAACTATTTACAAGTCCTGACTGTTGTAGTCTGAAGCTGGAGTCTCATCGCCCACCTACAGGTAGCTTTTGGAGCTGATGGATTTCCCGACTTGGACTCCTTCCGCAAACTCTCGCAACATTACTACAGTGTATGCTGTGTTTCCGCACGCTCGTGTCGACATGTCACCTATACTGTACATGTACCGGGTCGCGGAGGAGCTTGACGACCTCCGCTGACTCCAGGTTTCCGAAATACTGCCGTCGTCTTCGTTGATGTCGCTGGTGACATTCTCCCCTTGCAGGACGTGCACATAGTTGTCGTACCGGGGGTAAAGACTATGTTGTCTTTCGAAATAGTTCTTCATCACGCTCGCGCGAATGATGTTTCTCATCATGAACTCGTTCCGACAGTGTGACGCGGCGATGGTCTTTGGCGGGGCACTGGCTTGGCGAAAACGATATATTCTTGTGCAATATAACATTGATCGGCTGCAGATGAGTACAGTTACTTCGTGGTTGATCCTATAGGAGGGCAGCTGCCAGGAAAGAGGCAGGACTCATCGAAGACGAAGCGCTCGCAACAAACAATAGCACTCGAAATATCTCATAAGATTTAGGGCCTATCGCTTTGAGCCACAGCGCTCACAGCCTTGCCTACTTCATCAAAGTGAGCTCTACATGTTCGTTGACCTCTTCACACTACACAGAAGAGCGAAACAAGGATTATGTCTTAGCAATTCCACTCCAACAGCAGACCATTACCAGTACGAGAGAGAAAACTACAAAGGGCTTTGCTTTCTGTCGCATCGTCTCTCTTGCATGCAACTAACGAGAAAACCGTGTACTTACCCTCGCATTCACACGCGAACTATCACACACGTCCTGTGCCGCATGCTGATCAGGTAGTGCCATGTATGTGTTGTACAGTGTACTCTCAGTTGACATGCCCCCTTTCGAACCCAGACAATCTTTTTGGGATTGGTCTATTGAATGCCATATGAAATTTATGGTCAGGCTGCCCCCTTAATGCAAACCAGGCTTGTATGCAAACCATGCTTATATGCACCACTAATATTTTTGCCAGGCTTGTATGCACGCTTCTACACGCGACACGTGTAGATCTACCACTGACTACCGGTATGGCGGCAGTTTTACTATGCACCGTACATAGCGCATGCACTGTTGACCTACCCGATCCGCGCTTGCATATCAGCCAGGCTTCTACGTGCGACAGGCTAATATGCATTTGACCCGTTTGATTTTCAGGCTTCTTAGAGGCCATTCACACGACGGGCAAACTTCCTTTTATCGTACCGTTTCCAAGGATATTTACTCGGATACGATAAACTTGGACACACGCGTGCAACTGATTTTTTATCTTGGCCGAGGCACCTTTGCTCGCGATTATCTTTGCACGCCATGAAAAGTGTCAGTTGTTGAAAGTGCGTACTGCAAATGCAGTGCTTGAACAAAGGAAAATTCAAAATTTAACATTTCCCGGCATTTTCAGGGGGTCACTATGGATACATTGACGGTTGCAAAGTTTGCCCAGCACCGTGTGAACTGGATCACGGTTTGCCAGTGTCATCTTGATCACACGCGTGCAAATGTTTGCACGTCGTGTGAATGGCCTATAACCGCGATGTGCTTGTATACAAACCCGGCTTTTATCCTCGACTTTACTGTATATTATATATATACACACACATACACACACTTGTACTTTTTTGTACTTGTTGCTCACTGCCAAAACTGGTCACGTGGGTCTCCCCGGCAGAGGGGAGAGAGACTCATAAGGAATCTTGGAAAGATGACTCAATTGGCTATTGAACCGTCCAACGGCCGACACCCCCTGAAATCCCCAAAACTCTGGGTGGACTTGAAAATGATCCCACTTATGGGCTCACAACACCTCCGTAAGAGGATGAGGAAAACGGAAACACACACATACACACACACACAAACGCGCACACACACAATAATATTATTTTTACTTCTACTTCTACTCAATAAAACTTTCGTGACATGATGTTTCAGCTGATTCTGTTTATTGCCATCCTTAAACTGATACTTGTATGTATTCGTGGTAACTGCCAACACTGGTGGTCACATGGGTCTCTGTGGGAGAAGAGAGCGAGAATCAATAGGAACATTGACACCTAAAACTAAGCAAGGCAATACCTTTTTCTTTGACTTCTTCTTTGAATTCTGACTTGGTGTCCCACCCGAGGCGGATTCAGATGAGCTTGCAACTGCAGTAGCTTTGGCCTATAAACAGCAGAGACATATTATGATGAAGTAAATTTCTGTACCAGCAATCGTAAGAGATAGCGAAAATCAGTGTTTGTGTACCTAGTCCCAGCATAACACAAATCCACTGGAACATGCTGCAGCAAATATGGCCTAGTCTACACAAGACGGCCATTGCTGCAAGCACAGTTATCCCTCTATTTTGGTTAGAGACCAGAAAAGTGCAACCGACATCTACAAATACAAACAAACACAGGTGTACCAGCCCGCCTACTGAAAGAGGCAGCCAGTTCACTTGCGCCGTCCCTAGCAACCCTTTTTAACATCTCCTTCGAACGTTGCACTATCCCGCAAGAGTGGAGGAACGCAACAGTCACCCCCATCCCCAAGAAGGGGAGCAAAACCGAGCCCTCCAACTATGGACCGATATCGCTGCTCAGCGTGACGTCAAAAGTGCAAGAGAGGATATATCCTGACCGGGTCTCCAAGCACATCCAACCTCACCTCCCCAACGGCCAATCCCCGTGGCTGCAATTCCTTTTCTCGTATTGGCCACAGGCCATCGTGAGAATAATAGATTTCAAACACACACAGACACAGACACACACACACACACACACACACATACACACACACACACATACACACATACACATACAAACACAATTTTACTTCTACTGATGTTGTACGTATACTTGTAAACTGCCAAAACTGGTCACATGGGTCTCCCAGGGAGTGGGGAGACAGAATCAAAAGGAACATGGAGAGACTCAACATGAAACAAGACAATACCTTTTCGGTTGGCTTGGTCTTTGAATTCTGACTTGGTGTCCCATCTGAGGCGGATTCAGATGAGCTTGCAACTGCAGTGCCTTTGTCCTATAAACAGCAGAGACATATGATCAAGTGAATTTCTGTACCAGCAATCGTAAGAGATAGCGAAAACCAGTGTTTGTGTACCTAGTCCCAGCATAACACAAATCCACTGGAACATGCTGCAGCTAATATGGCCTAGTCTACACCAGACGGCCGTGGCTGCAAACACAGTTATCCTTCTATTTTGGTTAGAGGCCAGAAACGTGCAACCGACCTCTACAACTACAAACACACACACACACACACACACACACACACACACACATGCACACACACACAAACACACACACACACACATTAACAATAACACACATTGCTTGGGTAGATGGTGCACGGCCGGCGAAATTGAATTGCATTTGCCCGGGGGGGGGGGCAAGTAATGGCAGGGTTGGCAAGAGCCAAGAGCCCACTGATGCATTCAATGGAGAAATGGAGAGCCGCCGGGCACCGTTTATTGGGGTTTACTTTATAAAAGTAAGCATGTGAGGATAAATATGGGAGTGGGAGGGTGGGAACGAGAAACAAATAAACTGACAACCAGTCACCACCATGAACAATTCTTGAGAAGAGATTGTCAGCAAGGGAGCAAGAAACATGGGTCGCCATTTTTGCGTCATGGTAACCGGACATCAGTATGGTTGCTGACGTCATGGGCACATTGTGTGCGCTGGGGTAAATGTGAGTGGCAACACTGACAGTTGTGCGGCACCATGCCTGCGTGAGGACACAGGGCAGCAGAGACAGTTGTGCGGCACCATGCGCCCGCAAGGACATGGGGCGGCAGAGGTAGGTGTGCGGCCCCACGCTCCTGCGAGGACAAAGGGCGTCGGAGACAGTTGTGCAGCACCATGCGCATGCAAGGGCATGGGGCAGCAGGGGCAGTTGTGCGGCACCATGTGCATTCGAGGACATGGGGCAGCACGTACCCGCGGCGGTGAGCTGCAATAATGCTAGCTGTTAATGAGCATAAACGCTGCGCTTTAATGCGACACACACACACACACAATTTTACTTCTACTTATTTTGTCCGGATACTTGTAAACAGAAGAAAAAAAACTAGTCACATGGGTCTCCCAGGGAGTGGGGATACAGAATCAAAAGGAACATGGAGAGACTCAACATGAAGCAAGACAATACCTTTTCGGTTGGCTTGGTCTTTGAATTCTGACTTGGTGTCCCACCCGAGGCGGATTCCGATGAGCTTGCAACTGTAGTAGCTTTGGCCTAGAAACAGAAGAGACATATGATCAAGTATATGTCTGTACCAGCATTCGTAAGAGATTGCGAAAACCCGTGTTTGTGTACTTAGTCCCAGCATAACACAAATCCACTGGAACATGCTGCAGCAAATATGGCCTAGTCTACACCAGACGGCCATGGCTGCAAACACTGGTATCCTTCCATTTTGGTTAGAGACTAGAAAGGGGGCCACGGTCCTTTACAACTACAACTACAAACACAAGCACAGACAGACAGACAGACAGACAGACACACACACACACACACACACACACACACACACACACACACACACACACACACACACACCATTGGACCATTGGACCATTGGACGCCCATCGCCGGAGGTGATGATAGCGATGCTACAGCAGAAGCCATAGCAGCTTGTGCTGGGATTGCACCATTCAACAGCTTGCAAGGCTGAAGAATTGCACACACACACACACACACACACACACACACACACATACCGTAAAGTCGAGGATTTAAGCCGGGCTTATAAGCATATAAACCGCTTTCTGCATCAGGCTTTAATGCAAACCAGGCTTGTACCGAAACCATGCTTATACCGTAAAGTACCGTTGATCCGCCCCCACGCCATGTCGCTTCCCAGCTGGGTTTTCGGCAGGGGGCGGGAATTAGATCAAGGCTGTCAAGTGCAGTACGATGTGCAACAACGTAGAGGATCAGACTCAATGTGCTGGATTGTGCACATTTTGATCCTGGATTGGCAAGTATTGTGTACAGCAGTGCATGCGTCGGTTCAACATCGTATTTCGTTGTATACGCCGAAGTCGCTTCACAAGGAGAAAATCGACAGGGGGCGGGAATTAGAGGTGGGGCGGATCAACGGTACTTTACGGTATGCACCACTGACATTTTTGCCAGGCTTGTATGCACGCTTCTACGTGCGACGCGCGTAGATCTACCACTGACTACCGGTATGGCGGCAGTTTTACTATGCACCGTACATAGCGCATTCACTCTTGACCTACCCGATCCGCACTTGCATATAAGCCAGGCTTCTACGTGCGACAGGCTAATATGCATTTGACCCGTTTGATTTTCAGGCTTCTTATAGGCCATTCACACGACGGGCAAACTTCCTTCTATCGTACCGTTTCCAAGGACATTTACTCGGATACGATAAACTTGGACACACGCGTGCTACGGATTTTTTTTATCTTGGCCGAGGCCCCTTTGCTCCCGATTATCTTTGCACGCCATGAAAAGTGTCAGTTGTTGAAAGTGCGTACTTCAAATGCAGTGCTTGAACAAAGGAAATTCAAAATTTAACAATTCCCGGCATTTTCAGGGGGTCACTATGGATACATTGACGGTTGCAAAGTTTGCCCAGCACCGTGTGAACTGGATCACTGTTCGCCAGTGTTATCTTGATCACACGCGTGCAAATGTTTGCACGTCGTGTGAATGGCCTATAACCGCGATGTGCTTGTATGCAAACCCGGCTTTTATCCGCGACTTTACGGTATGTTATATATACACACACACATACACACACTTGTCCTTTTTGTACTTGTTGCTCACTGCCAAAACTGGTCACGTGGGTCTCCCCGGCAGAGGGGAGAGAGACTCAAAAGGAATCTTGGAAAGATGACTCAATTGGCTATTGAACCGTCCAACGGCCGACACCCCCTGAAATCCCCAAAACTCTGGGTGGGCTTGAAAATGATCCCACTTATGGGCTCACAACACCTCAGTAAGAGGATGAGGAAAAGGGACACACACACATACACACAAATACACACACACAAACACACACACACGCACACAAACGCACGCACACACAATTTTACTTCTACTTCTACTCAATAAAACTTTCGTGACATGATGTTTCAGCTGATCCTGTTTATTGCCATCCTTAAACTGATACTTGTATGTATTCGTGGTAACTGCCAACACTGGTGGTCACATGGGTCTCTGTGGGAGAAGAGAGCGAGAATCAATAGGAACATTGACACCTAAAACTAGGGGTGAAACGGTTACCCTTTAAGGTAACAAACGGGTACCTGGCTTAACGGGCGGGTTATCGGGTACCCTTTAGCAGCCAATAGTGACAGTTACTATACATTTCGTGCCAGGAGGACATGCAAAGTCATGTAATTCACAGCAAGTGCACTACAACGCGACAAGCGCAGCATGCGCACTTACTGCGCTACATGCAAAACAGTCTAAATTGTCTAATTTAGCAGGATCGAACAAGCAACAACACATTCAACCTGTACATCAAATTGAACAACTGTGCAAATCAGCTAATATTACCGTACTGTACCGTCGTACACGACTAACGGGTACTCGTTTGCTAACGGGTCAGCAGCTAAACGCTCGGGTACACGGGTACCCGGATCACCCCTTTCACCCCTACCTAAAATTAAGCAAGACAATACCTTTTTCTTTGACTTCTTCTTTGAATTCTGACTTGGTGTCCCACCCGAGGCGGATTCAGATGAGCTTGCAACTGTAGTAGCTTTGGCCTATAAACAGCAGAGACATATGATGAAGTAAATTTCTGTACCAGCATTCGTAGGAGATAGCGAAAACCAGTGTTTGTGTACCTAGTCCCAGCATAACACAAATCCACTGGAACATGCTGCAGCAAATATGGCCTAGTCTACACCAGACGGCCATTGCTGCAAGCACAGGTATCCTTCTATTAATTTTTGGTTAGAGACCAGAAAAGTGCAACCGACATCTACAAATACAAACAAACACAGGTGTACCAGCCCGCCTACTGAAAGAGGCAGCCAGTTCACTTGCGCCGTCCCTAGCAACCCTTTTTAACATCTGCTTCGAACGTTGCACTATCCCGCAAGAGTGGAGGGACACAACAGTCACCCCCATCCACAAGAAGGGGAGCAAAACCGAGCCCTCCAACTATGGACCGATATCGCTGCTCAGCGTGACGTCAAAAGTGCAAGAGAGGATAGTTCCTGACCGGGTCTCCAAGCACATCCAACCTCACCTCCCCAACGGCCAATCCCCGTGGCTGCAATTCCTTTTCTCTTATTGGCCACAGGCCATCGTGAGAATAATAGATTTCAAACATACACACACACAGACAGACACACACACACACACACACACACACACACACACACACACACACACACATACACACACACACACACACACACACACACACACACAAACACAATTTTACTTCTACTGATGTTGTATGTATACTTGTAAACTGCCAAAACTGGTCACATGGGTCTCCCAGGGTAGGTACTTCAGGCGTTTTTTCCAAAACCAGAAATACTCGTATTTCTTTCTTGTATCCGATTCAGATAGGTTTAGGAAGACTCCACAGAAAATTTTGAGCAAAAAGAAAGACTTGGCACAGAGATACAGCCATCCAAAGTCGGAGAATTGAATAACGTCAATTTCAGTATTTCGACGGCACCAGCAGCATATCAGAAATTGGCAGGACTTGCTTCAGTGTCTATAGTGGCAAAATACCAAGCTCGCTGGAAGCAATTTCAAATTTGGACTTCACGGAGAATTTTCAA